ATATATATATACCTATATGTGTACACATATATGGAATATGTATATGTATGTTTGTATATGTAAAGAGAGAGAATTATTGGTTGGTACTCTCAAGTCACCACTGGACCAATTGGCAGCATCAGGATGGATGGTGAAGAGATTGAGATTGTTCACAGCTTTAGTTTGCTTGGCTCCACAGTTAACACTCTTTGCACCAGTAGCCAGGAAATTAAAAGATGTATTGCCATGGGAAAGTCTGTGTTAGGGACCTCTCCAAAGTACTGAAGAGCAATAGTGTCTCTATGGAGATTAAGGTGCGCCTGATATATGCCATGGTCTTTGCTATCACTTGTTATGCATCAGAGAATTAGACAATGACTAAGGAGGTTAGAAGGAGAATTAATACCTTTGAGCTGTAGTGCTGGAGAAGAGTACTGAATGTACCATGGACTGCTAGGAAAACAAACAGATTCATCCTGGAAAGGGTCAAACTGGGAGGTTCCTTGGAGGCAAGGATTCTGAGGCTCCATCTAACATACTTTGGACATGTTGTAAGGAGGGACCGGTCCTTGGAGAGGGACATCATGCTCGAGAGGGTGAAGGGACAGCGCAGGATAGGAAGGCCCTCTATGAGGTGGATTGATTCAGTGACTGGGGTAATCGGGATGGGTGTGTCAGAGACAGTATGATCAGCCCAGGACAGAGCAGAGTTTAGGGCTGTTGTACATAGGGTCGCTATCAGTCGCAAGCAACTCGACGGCACATAACAACAACAATTCTCAAGTAAACTACAACTCAGAACACCACCATAAACAACTGATCTGAACCTTGCCCTATCCTGTGCCATCTTCATGCTATATGATATACAAGTCTATTGTTGTAGTCACTCACTATGTCAATCCACCTCATTGAGGGTCTTCTTCTCTTTTTTTGACCCACAACTTTTCCCAGCAAGGTGTCTTATTCTAAAGATAATATCCTCCAGATAATATTCCTAAAGTACATGAGATGAAATTTCATTAACCTTGCCTCTAAGAATCACCCTGATAGCACTTCCTCCAGGACAATTTTGTTAGTTTTTTTGGCAATTCATGGTATATTTAATACTCTTCTCTAACATCACAATTCAAATGCATCAAATATGTATATGTATATGTATATGTATATGTATATGCATATGTGTATGTATACGTATATGCATATGTATATGTATTCGTATATGTATATGTGAATGTATATATACACACACACACATATATGACTTTGGAGAAGGGATGAGGATACCTAAGTGCATGAATCATGCACTAAAGAAAGTTTAATGAGGGTTTTCTGGTCTCCAGATCCCAGAATGCATGGAGACCAGTTAGGGGACTAGTGTAAGTATACCAGTGCAAACAGGAGTCCATATGAGAGAAAACATCATCTTTAAACTGGTGATAACAAAGCAGTTGATAAAACAGATGCATTTGAGAAAACTTTAAGAGTTGAAGAATTCAGTTGAAAAACTGAAGAATTCAGGGACATCTAGGGCATGTGGAAAATTAAAAGAGGGAGTTCTTGGTTTATAGCCTGCAAGAATGAATGCGTGTTTTTGAAACTGAGACATTTCACCTAGAATAATGTCCTCCAGGGTCACCCATGTTGTGTAATGGTTTATGAGCTCATTATTTTTCAGTGCTGCATAAACTATAAACTCTACAAATGTACAGAAATTGTTATTACAGAACAGAGTTCAGATCTTTTGTGCAAAGATCACCACTATGAGTCGTGTTCGACATAATGACACTTAACTGCTAAATGAGACTAGTGCTGTTATATCTGGAGGAACATTTTTCCACTTTGAACATCACTCTTTGTCAATGTGCTGTATGAAATAACCTGGGTTTGCTATGATGCTGAACCTTGTGTCATTGAAGTATTAAATACCAGAATGGTTTCCCAATGTGGACTGTGTTTGGTGGAGCTCCCAGTTGTAAAACAAGTTTAGAAGCAGGAGTTCCATCCATTTCTTAAACCACATGCCTCTGGAAACTCTATGAACCTGAGAAATGATGATAGTTATAGAAAGGCCTTAGGGCTTTTGGTCATGGAGTCACTATGAGCCTTACTCAACTAAACAGCAATCAACAACAACAGCATAGTCTACCATTGTGTGAATGAATATATCATAGTTTTTCAAGCCATTTGTTTGTTGATGGGCACTTGAGTTGTTTCCATCTATTTGTTATTGTGAATAATAATACCACTGTAATGAAGCAGGATTGACATGTGCAGTTGTGAAGAGAATAGAGAAAGAATGAATAGATAATGAATACTTTATTAGAGTAGATGAGAGACAGAGCTGTTTAAAAAGAATATACGATTAGGCATTATATATCAGACAATGGTCCAGAGTAAGAGATATATTGCAAAAAAGGACTGAAGGACTGGGGGAGGGGGAGAAAACTGTGCAACAGTGTTGTTGTCATTAAGTGCCATCAAGTCCTAAATGACTCATAGTGACCCTATGAACAAAAGACCTGAACACTTGTATAATTTACATTGTTTCTCCAAGTTTACAGAGTTTCCGGAGGCAAGCTATTACAGAAGTGGGTGCCACTTGTGCTTCCAGGGTTGTTTTAATTGGGAAGTTCCACCAAACACAGTCCACCATGGACAGCCATTATCGCATTAGACACATCAGTGTCACAGTGTTTAGCATCACAGCAACCACAAGTTACCTCTGTACAGCGTGCAACAATGAATATTATTTTTTTTAAAAAAAGAACATGAACTGAGGGAGGGAAAAGAGAAGGGGATGGAGGAAAATGCAACAATGAATGAATGAAAATTCAAATTTTCTGTAAACTTTCATTTAAATCACAAATAAAATATAATTGGGGTTTTTTTAAGTAATGTATGTATGGCGATTAAGTATATAACAGGAAATAGTGGAGAATATTAATTCACCTTTGGAAATGTTAACCTTGAATTGCTTTTGAGACACTCAAGGAATGATGTCAAGTAAACAGCTGGGTATCAGGATTGGAGCTGAGGAGAGCAATGGGAATATATATCTGAAAGGCATTAATAAACAACTGCTAACTGAAACTTTGTGTGTAAATAAGAAGCCCTAGGAGGAGTGTCAACATCCATGAAGAACCTAATTTAACTACCAGATAGAGGTCATTAAGCCAGCCAAGGAGACTGAGGTATCAGAAAGGTAGAGGTTAAGGCAGTAAAGACCTGTTAGAAGTCAAAGAAGGAAGTACTTGCAGTCGAGAGTCAGGGGTCATGGCTGATAGGGGTTCAAGTATAAGACATTATAGTTCAACATATGGGTTTAAACAATATCATGTACAGAACACTAGAAGAAGATAGTAGCGTAAGCATTGATTCTGGAGGGAGACAAAGGCTGGACAGAGGAAGTAAGTTGAAGCTAGGTTTGAATGATAAAACGGAGTTTCCCAAGCAAAGTGGCTGGCAATTAAAAAAAAAAGTAATTAGAAAAGGTTACTCTTTTTCTTCAAGAAAAAACAAAAGTTCTTCATTAGGCTGGTGGATGTCCTGAAATTCTATACTTCACATGCCTTAATCAGTACCTAATCATTTTCATTCACAGGCCTTCACACCTCAACAAGAAAAAGCAGACATCCTCCCAAGCAGTCTGAGCTCATCATTGTCCCAAAACCCACAAAATGTGTAAATCAGAAGGCAGGCATCCATCCGGGAGAAACTTAATATTCGTGCAAGAACAAAAGACTCAGGCCTAAGGAACAAAGGCTAGGGATTCTTGATTACATAACAAGCTGGAAATTAAACTTAAGAACCGAAAGAAGAGAAAGTTAAAAATTGAACAGAGGGGAAAATAAATAGATATGCAAAAAGAACAAGAGTAACTTTTCCTTCTACTCATATAATTGTCTACTCACCTGGGATGATCTTGGCCATCTTTTTTGAAATGAGGGCTACCACATCTTTTGGTGACTCTACACATGCTTAATTTCAATTGGTCAGGCTAGAATTATAATTTCATATTCTGCCTCATTGCATTGAGTATGTAGGACTATGGGAAAATAAATAGCTAATATTAGAATAGCTTCTCTAGAGCCACAATCATATTAAAAACATGGCTATCAAGTGAAATACTATAAAATTTTGTTCCAAAAATTAACTATGAGGAAGCATTTTTACATCCAACCATTTAAAAAATCATAATACTCAAGCTATCATAGTACCCCATAGTATTCTTCCACGTCTTCCTTAACTTTTTACCTTAACTTTTACATAAAAAACATTTTTGCCTTAACTTTCACATAAATGACTTTTTTTTAATTTTAGGCTTTGTAAAAGGAAAAAAGAAACCCTTTCTTTACATCCATTTGTTTTTCTCATTTACCCATATTTTTTATTAAAAGTGTATTAAATCTTGAGGATGCTGATCCTATTATGTTTCCTATTATCTTAACACGAACTTTCAGGAATCGTGGTATTAAATTTTAGTTTGAAATCTCTCAGTTATTTATTTATGATCTTTTCAAGCAGTTTGTTGGAACAGAAACACGTGAGGAGTGAATTAAGTGTTCACTATGGATAGCTCCATTTAGTCCACTCCCTTAACCTTCCACAGTGACTTCATTCATTTTTCTGCCTCATGACAAATGTGTTGTCTGTTACATAGTGCTAGGTGAAAACTTGGAATAAGGGCACCATGCCTTGAGATAAAAATATGACGCATCATGTCTAGGAAAAATAACTAAAGAAGAAAAAATAATTTCCTATAGGCAACCTGCAAATGACCACAAGAATGGATTTCACAGGATCTGATCTAAAAGGGTCTGAGGAGTGCTCACAGAGGAGAAATGATTGGCAAAGCAAATTGGAAAAGGTGAGGCCTAACAGTACAGAAATGCTACAGGAAGGACCCTTGAGTGAGGGTGTTAAGTCCTTGGGTAGGGGGCCACCAGAGGGTCGACAAGGGAGACGCCTGCCTGGCAGCTGTGTTCCAGAGGGCGGGGATACCCTGGGCTGAAAGGTGGTACCTGCACCGGGTCGAGCGCCCCTGCCACCGAGTCCCCGATCCAGAGATGCTCTCGGAGCAGCTGTTGGTAGCTGAGGCAGTGCTTCACCGCGGAGGGCATATTCCCCATGGCGGGGCCAGGAGCGGCAGCAGACGATGGGCGGGGGCGGCAAGGAGCTGAGGAACTAAGTGCCAGCAGCAGAGCGCACCCCTCCCAGGGAGCAAGGCTGCTCACGCTAGCCCAGCTCTGCGCATTGCGGCGGCGCGAGGGGGGGGCGGGGAGGGAGGCTGGG